AATTATAATAGGTAATGTGAAAAAATTCAATGATTAGGAGAGGCCTAAGAAGTACTTGAGATTCTCAGAAGGTTTTCATGGAGTAGTGGTACTAAAACTTGAAGTAACTGTTTATATATGATCAATAATCTAGAGTAAAGATCTGGTAGGAACAAGGGAGCAGGCTATGTGGATATCTGGGATAAGAACCTAATAAAAACAAGGAAGGTCTAGTACAAAGGAACATGTAGACTGTTGTAAGGAGTAAGGACAAAAATCCAAACCAGGCTTTATCATTGTTATTAGAAATCCACTTAGAAAAGAATTTAATCAGCTTAAGATGAATATCATTGCAGATCTATTTAGTGTTCTCTCCCAGCCATGACCTCATTGCTGATACTGATAGTCTGGACTGTTTCTTAGATGTGGATATTATATTAGCTCCTTTTTAATTCCTGTAGCAAAATACTTGAGGCAGGTAAACTTGATAAAGAAAACAAGCTTATTTCCACCCAAGGTTCAGGAAGTGCAAGGTCAAGGGACCTCATTTGTGATGGTCCACTTGCTGGCAGACTCACTAGGTGTCTCATGGTAAGACACAGAATGTGGGTATATGTATGTTAGGTTTCTTTCTTTCTTCTTATAAATCCACTATGAGCCAATCATGGGGGCTCTACCCTAGCATCTTTATCTACTCCTAATTACCTCCTAAAGGTCCCATCCCTAAACATCCTAGTCAGATTAAGTTTCTACTCACTTAATACCTCACAGTGGGAATTAAATTTCAGCATGAGTTCTAGGGGACATTCAAACTATAGCAGATGCTCAGCTTGGAAAATCCACAGAATGGATAGAACCAAAGGGAAAGGTTTCCAGAGCTTTGTAGGACTGAGGATTCTTCTTTTTCTTGCTCCACAGGGGCATACTGATTATATGTAGGCAATTGCTCTAAGTTTTAATCTAACCTAAAATGTGGCCCATTATTTTAGAATTAAGAAGTAAAGATAACAGAAGTCTACCTTGGATTAGTTAATAGGGGATTCTTGTCTCACAGATAGCCAAGGTACAGACTACTGAGAACAGTATGTCTATGCCATTGTGCTATCATTTTGTCTTCTTGCCAAGACACCACAGTAAAATACGACATGACTAATATTAAGCCTTATAGAGAAATTGCAGAATTTTTTGCATTCAGCACAATAGGGAAAATTTGTGCTGGGATTATCTATCCCACAGCTAGTACAGGAGTCTAACAACAAATTTCTATCCTATCTGGGAAAATTTCTCCAAAGCTTCTATTCACTCTTGCAGCCTGCTATTTTCAATAATAATAAAATATTGTGAACTCAGCAAAAATACATTTGAAAGCAGGTACTGAATTTACTTTAGTTCACTCAATTTATGTGGTTTGAACTTATTAAATATGACCATTACTGCTTACTTCATGAGAAACAAGGTTTCAGATACAAATCTTCTTTAGCAAAGAGAAGGTAACTGAATTTCCAAATAGGTCATGATTACCTAACTCTTTGTGGGTCTGCAAGAGATATATGATTTAAGTTTGCTATAGAAGATTTGAGTAAACTGATAATCCTTAAATAATACATCCAGGTCTATTGTTTTAGTTCTATGTCAAGTACTGATCATTGTAATTGTGGCTTAATATAAATTTAGAATTATTGTTATTTAATGGGTTGAGGTTGTTCTATACTTAATATTTAGCAATGACCAGATGATATTAATATAATGAAATTATGCAACTTAGACATTTTACCACTATTTTATAACCTCAACTAATTTTTATCTGTCAAATGTTTTATTCTTTTTTTATTGTGAAAATACTGTACAGAGGGGTTACATGGATAATGAATACATTTCTTATCAAGCATTGTAGGCTCCTCCCCCCCCCCCGTCTGCTTAAATGTTTTATTCTTGCTATTCTGAAAAAAGTCACCAAAAACTTTTTACTCAAAAAGAATTTAACCTCTTATTTAACTTCTACACTAATTTTTATATGGGAAAGGCAATACAGTATGGAAGTTGCAACAAATTTAGAAGAGTAATTTTGGCTTTAATAATCAAATGCTATTCTGAAATTGAAAACCTAGTGAGGTGTTTTCACTAGTAAAATTTCTTTTGAACTAATAAGGACTTAATCTCTCAGAGAAGAAAGTACATTTTTAATACTTTTTATTGTAAAAATACAGTACAGAGGGGTTACAGTTACATGAGTAACTATTTCCTTTACAGCACTGTTACCCCTCCTTTGTTTTTCTACTACTATCCCTTCCCTCCCCAACCTCCCCAACTCCCCTCCCCAATTGTAAAGTTCGTTTTCAACATAGTATCAGACTTTTAGCTTTGTGTGCACAGCTGGGGTTTGAATTCAAGGGTTCTTGCTTTTCTGGAGCTTTTTCACTAAAGGCTGGCATTCTATAACTTGAGCCACACCTCCACTTCTGGCTTTTTGCTGGTTAATTGAGATTTGTGTTACTGGACTTGCTGCAAACATGATCCTCAGGTCTCAGCCTCTTGAGTATTTTAAGATTATGGGCACAAACCACTGGTTCTCAGTGGACTGTTGACCTAGTCTTCTGCTTTAGATTCTTAGCTCCCTACTTACTAGCTGAGTAATTTCAGTCAAGATCTTTAGTCAATGACCTTCAGTCATTGTTCCCCTAGCTAGGAATGCATTGGGGATAATAGGATATACCTTGTGAATTATGTGAAGAATGAGCACATACAAATGTTCTTAGAACAGTGGCTGGCACATGGTGAATGTTCACTAGGTGTTATCTATTATTTTCATCTGTGATAAAGTGAGGCACTATCAGTACTCTAATAGGATAAAGTACTGGGTGAAAATTTTGTATTTTTATTGGGTTGCATAAAAAAATTCAAAAAGAACCTAGCATGCTTTCTGATGAGCACACACAGGAGCAAAGAGACGGTTCCTCTAAGTGAAATTGACCTTTGCATATAGTGCCTGAAATCAGAGGAGGCTTGTCAATGTAGGCAGACACCAGGCCACCAGGCCACCAAATGTCCACCAATCTAACATCTGCTTCTCCTTTTTAGAACTTATGGAAATTAATGGAAGGCATCTGATGTAGATCCTGCTTAAGGTTTAGAACTTTTATTGGGGCAGTAAATTTAGCTTTTGGATAGTCATTCAAAAATCTTTGTACCTCCTTCATTACAGAATATTATCATTTACCACAATGGATTATTTTTACATTGCGTCTGGTAATTATGTTTCCCCAGAGGCCATTGACTTCAGGAAAGGCAACAGGGTGCCCTCCATTAGTGGATCCGAGAGCGTAAGGACGTAGAATTCCTGGCTGACCGCTGCTATTGAGGGTTGTAGTCTTGAAACTCAGAATGTGACTCTCCCTGTTCGCTGAGTACCTGTAAATGTTAGGATAGGCAGGAAAGGGAGGTGTCTTCTGTTCTGTACACTCCAGACACCGTTTCGGTCCTCTACAATAGTATTTCTGATTCCTAAGGGTGCGAAACCCATGGAAAGTCTAACTAACCTTGAAAAAAATCTAGTCTTCTGGTTCTCACTGTACCAAACATCCCGGATGCAAGTGTGTTTGCAAAGTAAGTTTGCCGAATGTTTCAAGTTGTACAGGCGGCCCAGGAGGGTGGGACGCTCGCAACCGGCTTACCCGGGCGTGCCAGTGTCTGTGGGTATCGGAGCACGCGCAGGACACACTCGGACCCACGTTCCCCGTCTTGCTCGCACCTCAAAGGCTGTCAACTCTCATGCCCCTCCCCGCGCGCACCGCCCCCTCCTCACTCTTCCACCCCCTCATGTCCCGCCCCCAAAGGAAGATTCTCAACTGTGGTTGGAAGAAGCTTCTTTCCTTCTTAGCCCAGGACCAATCATTCGAGTTCTGGTGGAGGGCGGGGGAGCCAATGGGGACTTTCGCTGCGGCAGCTGCCGGGCCCGAGCGCCGGGAGGCGGTGCCGGGGGCGGGCTGCGGGAGGAGGATTAGTTGCCTTTCCAAGTGAGAAGCTAGTAGAGGCGGCGGCGGCGTTCGCGGTGCAGCCGCGGAGCGCGCGGCACTGCGAGGCCCATTCCACCTCCACCCCCCACCCCCACCCCGGGTTCCCAGAAACCAGACTCGTGGGCCGCCGTGCAGCCGCGGGCTTCCCCGGCGCGTGCGGCCCCGCGGGCACTGAGCGGGAGGAGGCTGCGGGCGGCCCCAGAGCTGCGGGATCCGGGCCAGTGCCCTGACAGCGCGATGCCCGGGGCGGCAGCGGCGGCTCCGGGCTCCTCGCGGTCCCGGCCGTGACTGCCACGCCGAGCCCAGCGGGGCGGTTGGGGCCGTTGGACGTTCCCCTCCCCCTCGCCGAGCCGACAGGGGTGCGAGTGGGGCCGGGGGAGCCCCGAGACTCCTCCCTCCCGGCCTCCGCCTCCCCGTACACACCCGCACGCGCTCGCGCCGGGCCGACAGGGGTGCGAGTGGGGCCGGGAGAGCCCCGAGACTCCTCCCTCCCGGCCTCCGCCTCCCCGTACACACCCGCACGCGCTCGCGCCGGCTCCCACACGCTCGCCCGCGCGCCTCGGGGTCGGCC